CTGCTAAGTCCAGCGCCCGCTATGCGCAGAGCACGCTCGCGCCGCGTTCAATTGAAAAATTGTAATTGTTGTTGTTGTTGTCCTTGTTGTTGTTGGTGTTGGTGTTGGTGTTGATGTTGGTGTTGTTGTGGGTGTTGTTGTTGTTGTTGGTGGTGGTGGTGGTGGGGATGATGACAAGTTTGATTACACCAGGATGTGATGTAAGAACTGATCCATCATTTGCTTTACACTCAGTTCCGAGGGTGAGCTGGGATTTTTTGCAGAACGGACCAGGGATCGCTCATTAAATAAAACCATCCACCAAGTTGACATGCAGTTTGTAAATCGCGACAAAAACCCCAATCCAAAACATGGACATTCCAATCCGCCTGCAACCCTAAACCTGAGACCTCAGCTCGTCAACTCGTCACCCTCGAACCACAACGCTTGTCCCAGCACTAAGGTTACATCCCTAGAGAAGAAAAAATATGTACTGAACCTTCTTTGCCGACCGAATTCCCAACCCCCTAGTTGGCAGGGTTGCGCGTTTGCAGCAAGAAGGGTTTGGGTTGTTGGGTCACGGCCTGGCAGCCTAGCAGTTGCAGTCAGGACCTTGAAGGCTTGGCAGAGCTTATTCGGCCAATACCTTTGCAATGACATCCTTCACCCGCATTTTTCGCTAGTTTCTGACAGGTGCTGTCCTTTGCCGACTGTGCAGCTGTGCAGTGTCTTGCCTGAACCTCGATGCCAAAACCCGCCACCCTGATTATCTCTAATCTCTGCTTCTTTTTGTGCAGAAGTGTACTTTCGGAGATCTCAGTGTGGGTGCGGCTCCTTCCTACATCCGGCAGCCCGGGCCATACAGATAGTGGGCCCGTATGAGAGGTTCTAGGACAGACTTTCTTGCAGATGCTTCCAACCGGGAGCCACAAGGTCCAAGACGCGAGGGCCAACTTATTCCGCATTCTCCGCTCGTGGGGGGTCGCGGTTCCTGAGACGCTCCATTAAAGTCAAGCTTACCAACTATATCCGAACTTGTAGTACGTTAGAATCTCCTCCAAGAATGATTCGAGGGTGGGCTAGGTCCCGTGCCGTCGATTCCAGTATATGATTAACACTTCGCGCCTTTCGGAGCCCTGCAGTCTTGGCAAGTGCTTTTTGGAATAGGTTTAAATGCGCAAGATTGGCCAAAACCGGGACAGTGTACCATAGCCATCCGCCGAGACTTCTTCTAATCAAAAGGGCTAAGCGGCTGAGCCCTCTCGTATCCCCACATTCTGAAACCCGAAAAGCTGTTCAAGCGAAATTGTGAACTGCAGGCGTAAGCTTTCAAAGATGCGAGCTGCAGAGGCCCCTTGGCCCCCAGCGCCTTAAGAACCAGCAGAGGAACCCCTCCGCCGAACAGCTTGCCGCTCCTTGTGGCAAACAGGGGCCTTGGGGAGACTTCAGTCTGCAGGGGTGGGGGAAAGCAAGCGGTTGAGGGTGTCAGGAGGGGCACCACCTCACGTATCAGTAGCATAAGCTTCGGGGATTCATTTGGCGTATTCCTCGTTATGCACAACGCAGCAGCTTGTGCCTCAGCAATAGGACTGTAGATGCCACAGGATCCGGAGCCTAGCCTCCTGTCCTGGTAGCTTCACGGATTCGATAGCCGGTGTTCGAAGCTGGGATTCTGGAATCTTGAACTCCAGGGTGCCAGGGTATCATTGACAGGTCATGTGGGTACTGTTCTGGGCTTTCTACCTGTAAGGTGCCCTTCTTGCGGAGCGCTCGTCGTAGTACAGTCGACACCATGCACGGACTCTATAAGACAGGACCACCCTCATCCAGAGCGTCCCGTCGTTGGGCTGAGAAGGGCCTACACATGGACAGGAGGGTAGTATAGCACAGGATGCAAGAGTAAAGCGATGCCATCCTCGTGCCCAACGAGGCGTTAACCCCTAAACCCCAGAAGGCCGGTGCAGCAATATCAAGACCCGAAAGTTGTAGACCCCAGAGGCCTGGAATATCCTGGAATCCTTCGCAATGCACTGTGTGTCCAAGGCCCAAATTACTATCATTTTTAATATTCTGTTGTAACTGCAGCATCCTGGCTGGTGGGTAGACGCAAGAGCCGTCACGGCTGGCCTGCCCTTGGCACAGTAGCGCGACGGCGCTTGCACTAGTGTGGAGTCAGCAACCTCCATAAAGGGGTTGGAAACGCAAGAAAGTTTTAGGCACTACCAATCCCTCAACTACAGTTTGTTACGAGGATGCCATACTCCACCGGCTTGCCTTAAGATACCAAACCTCCTTGGAGAGGGTTCTTTCTCAAACGTGGCCGGAATCCGCCACAACCTAGGTCGTAGGTTGACTTTAGAGCAGTCGGACCGTGTAGGTTTGTCGAAAAGGACCATATACAGGACACTTAGCCATTGTAGACTTCAACATCCACCATGTTGTTTATGCAGCAGCTTGGATCGGTATCTCCAGACACGTGGTGTGGCAACTTTAGCAGACCTGACATCTACCACCTCGAGATGGAAGTTCGCTGAAAGCAAGCGTGTGCCAAAGATCCCGCAAGCAGAAAACCAACCGACGTCCAAAAACGCCGAAGAAGGACATTGCTGTAGCAACAGCAGAGTGCCATCGGAAGTCTGGGCCCCGGTTGCAGCAGGACAAATTGCTCTCTTCACGAGGGCCATTCGGGCGGCGCAGGGGGAATTTTTGCGCTAGCCATGCATGCTTCCCGTTCTAGGTCGGTTCCCTCCAGCGAGTTGTCTCGACCGTCAATCCTTCCCACCTGGCGTTTTCAGTTTTTTTCAGAGGGGCTTGCTGGCAAAAAAGGCTTTGATTTAGACGGTCCGCAATCAAACCTACAGACTCGATGTTCAGAGTCCAAGCTAGTAATCCCGAAACTGTTCGCAGTGTTCGTAGAGTTCATCAGTACAACATTGTTCGGCACAGCGGACATTCTTGGTGCATGTCTGAGCCTGAGCATCTGCTACTTGTAAGAACATTGGCGTTGTTAATGTTAGTAGTCGAGTCCCCAGGCTTAACCCTTATTTAAGTAGGCACCCGTATTGGTCATCCCGGATCATCCTAGTCTGATAAATATAGTCTACAGGACCTTGAAAACGGGAACCCCTAAACTCCCAGAGCCCCACGAAGCGCTCGAGGCTTGTCGGCGAAGATCCGCGTGTGGCCCTCCTTTCGCACTCCACGAAAGGAGCGTTTGGCATTTCGGGGCCTAGCTGGATCCTAAACCGCGAATCTCAAAGCCTCAAGACTCAAGCCAGTCTGAAGCCTTAAATTTCTTAAGTCCTGAAAATTGATTGAAGCTCAAGCTGTCTGTTTTGTCAGAAGTCGTTTTGAGGAGCGGCTCGGCTAAGCCACTGCCCTTTGGCGGACCCTCTTCACTTTGATTCTGCTGCGTTTTTTTGCAGGGTTTTGGGTCCCCGACTCTCGATCCCGAAATAGGGTTCCTCTGCGGAGCTGCTCTTAAGTTAGGTGCCCTTACAAGAGAACAACGAAACGAGGATCTGCCAGCCACGAAGATGTACAGAAGGTGATTGAGGCCCGGCACCGGAGAGATCCGTTGAAGTTGTTGCGAATTGAGTTCTGAATTCAAATTATTTTGGGGGTGTGCGGAATGTCCCTGTGTAAGCCCCAGACTTGGCATGCCGCACTTATACCTGGCTCGTGCCGTGAGCCGAGGGTTTACGAGGAGTTGGGGCTCCAGGGCTAAAGTGGCAGATTTGGTTCTCGATTGTGTCCTCGGGCCTGTGCGAGGAGGGTTCTCATGCCTCGCCATGCAGCATGAGACGTACAGACAGACATGCGCTTACATCGTGTACATACTACACATAAACAGAATCTCCATAATTAATATAGACACATCTGCACATGTAAGTACATATGTGTCTTTCAGGATTTCTTTGCTCTCAGCGGTGTCCGCTGCTTAATTGTGATGCAACGGCACCTTGCAGGCATGAAAAAGCACTGCAAAAGGGTGCTTCCAGAAGTCCTCAGGGGCCTGTACTTCGGCCTGTCCTCCATCAGGGAGACATTGCCACGCCCTTCTAAGAACCTCAGGCAGGATCGAGAGTAAATCATTGGCCACGGCTGACGCTGAGGCTGTGTTTCTCGCCCGCTTCCACTCGGCTTCCCAGTTAGCAGGGAGCTTGAACACAGCTGTACGGGTCACGTGGCCGTTCACTCGGCTGGCTAGGAGGGCTTGCCAGGCGCAGGACGGCAACACCCTACCGAAAATCCATGAAAATCCGCCAGGGAACGGCCCTCCTTACCGGGGCAAAGCGGGGCCGTCACTCTCAGACGTCGAACCGCATCAAGGCTTTCTGAGATCATACAGAACTCCTCTTGGTTCGAAGGGTCCTGTTGAAAAAGCAGGCCAACCTCATTCATGACATGTTCAAGAATGTTCTCGACTTCATCCGGGTAAAGCGGATATTGGCATGCCACTGCAGCAAGCTCATCACTGAGCTGGTTTTTGCTCTATGGCCTCATCGTCCCACTGTCCTCATCTCAGCCACGGGGGCCTGTTCTAGTGCTGGTCCTTCTTCTTGTCGAGGAGCAGCCGCTGCAAAGGTCTCACTCTCACCCTTTCGTCTGGCACGGCTACTAAACCCCGGGGCAATCTTGTCAGCGACTTGCCGGTTGGAGTTAGGGCATCGACGCACCATACAGAGTGTCGATGTGCAGCCAGGCGGCCTTCGGTCCTTTCGGCTTCCTGCATGCTTTGCCTGTTGTGCCCTGTACGACACGCCGGTAGTAGAGGATCCTCAACTCTGCTCGGGATGAACAGGCTTTGCCGCAAGGTCGGCATTGCCATTCCAGAAGGGATCGATACATCGCCCAACGGCACACTTGGATTGCTTCTTGATCCCAGCGCCATTGGAGGTCATCAGAGACTCGTTTCTTGACCACCCTGTTGAAACGGGCGGTTTCTTCACGGCGTACGTTCCACCACGTGGGCCAACTCGCTGGCCCGTGATCCGGCCACTTGTCTGAGTCCCGGTAGGTCATCCATCGCAGGTCATCTCTGACAAAGGCCAGCCGCTCCTTTTCATGCCTAGTGCGCCCAGATCAGATCCGGGCCCATCCTTGCAAGGGAGACCAGGAAACTGAGCCTTTGCCGCCTGGCCAGGAGGTCGACCGGCATGCAGCCAATCAAGGTGCAGCAGGCATTCATCTCGGATTTCGACAGCTAGGAGCCTTCTTGCAAGTCGGGCATGGCCCACCTGAATTACTTCCCAGGCCTTGCCACAGGGCAGCCACATTCCGAGGTTGTTGAACGTTGTGGCAACAGCCACTTCGAAACTGGCACTGCGAGTTTTTAACTCCAGGGAGGGGTTCTGTAGAAGAAGATTCCTCGCCGAGTCGCAAACATTGCGAGCAAGGGCCATCCTGTGCTTGGTCTGAAGCCATATTGTTGGCATCTGGACTAGGATGCCTCCAAGATGCTGATACTGGCTCGCCACGTGGATGCGAAGGTCCACGTCGGGGAGGTAGAGCTCGGATTTCCCGTCATGGAACTGCTTTCTCCGGGCTAGCGTCGCTCCAGGTCCACAAGGTTTCATCAAGAGGCTGGTCTTCCCGATTCCCAACCTTCATGGTTTGCTTGCACCATGTGCTTGCAGGCACCCCACCACAATTGAGCAGGTCCGTTTGGTTTATCGCATAGGCAGAATCGTCCGCCCATGTCGCATCCCAGGCCGCCTGGTCGGCTCCATGCCCGCCGGTACCATATGCCCAAGTTTCGCTGTTCCACCGGGGCGCGACATTCAACTCCTCCGCAATCAGCTGTTCATGTACATGATAAAGAACTCTGCTGTAGATTGTAGATGTAAGCGAAAATCACGTCCGCGAAAGACTTTCTTGGGCGAAAGCCAGCAAAGTGAGCGGCCGTTGGAAGACGGCGTCACGAACCATGTTCAAAGGTGCTGGTCTTTGATGGCTGTCTCAGGGCTCCGTCAACACCAGCCTCCTTCAGCATGCGTCCCTGCGTCACAGTAGCCATTATGTCACTCAAATCCTCCTTGTCCAACCCGAAGGCACAAAAATTTCAATCACTTGGTCAGTCTCGATACAGCCAGTAGCCACTATCCGGTAGTAAGCGGACTTGGTGTCAATGAACAAGATGGCTCCATCGAGTTTGGAGGACCTGAGGCGCCGAAGGTGCGTTAGTATGAAAAGAGCTGGGAAAGTCTCGGCACCAAATTTGCTCCTCAGCGTCTTGTCAAAGGCTTTGCCCAAGAAGGAGCTCACAAATAAGCTGCGAAAGTTCTCAAATTGATCATGGGCTCCCGACTGCTTGTAAGCTTCATAGAGAATGCCACCTCTCCATTGCATTGGTTGGAGTCCTCCCAAGAGGGACTTCAGGAAAAGTGGTTGCAGGACAATTGCAAGGCAGCTGGATCGATGGACAGAAGATCGCTGGGGATTCCATCCAGTCCTGGGAATTTTCATGAACTTTCCCTTTGGTGTGCATCGAAGGGCATCACCAATCTAGGCTCGGTAAGTGAGAGCTTCTCCACTGAAAGTCCTCCTCGTTGTGGGTTCGGTTTGCCTGAGCAAGATATTGGTTGACACTGATGACGTTCCCGGGTCTTGGGCTCCGATAAAGTGTAACCATAGACGGTCTCTGTCCTGCCGACTAGCTGCGTGCATGCCATTCTCCGGGTTCAACGGCATTGGTAGCTGCCTGGCTTGACGTGCACGCTTTCCGCCTCCCAGGCCCACTCTTTTGATACAGTACGCTGAAGGATTTGCATGACACCTTGGTGCCCACCGCAGCGGCAGCCAGCTGGTAGAGGAGGCTTTGTTTCTCCGTCAGGTACTTGACGTCGTAGTCTTCATTCCTGGCCCACTGTAGGAAAGCGCGGTCCATGAGGTCCTTCCCGGGTCCTCCGCTAGTGGACTCGCTTCTTGAAGGAGAACTCCGCGAGGAATTGCCGGCTGGTCTGTCGCCCCTCCGTAGTTGCCATCTTCTCCAGATTGAAGCGGGGCCTCCAAAGACGACTTGATGGATCTCCAAGTCCTAGCTGGCCTACCTTGTCAAGGAGGAGCATAGTGTGCTCTTCATTGGGCTTGCCGTTGTCAAAGTCCGGGCAGGTATGGCTGAAGGCTGACTGGATTTCAGCTTTTCCCCAAATGACGAATGTAGTCCAGCCGGTGTGTGGAGCCATTGTGATGATGGAAAGTGTTCGTCTCTCCAGGTTGCAGACTTCGATGAGTGGAAGGGATCCACCCATCATACGTGGACAGGATGTCCACAAACATGCGGCCAGACACGTCAGGTTCTCCATGCGTTAGGCCACCGGTAACATTCATGAAGTCTGCTGGCACCCTACCATTGAGATCAATGCCTAACAGTGTGATCTTGCACTGTCGCAGTTTCTGGAGGACACCACAGTTGTTCCAAGAATCGGCTCTTGCTTCCTTGAGGGCGGCGTGCGGTCCGAGCACGGCTTTGAGCCGCAGGTATGCCACACCTTCGTTTTAGAGGAAGGCCTGCTCCTTGGAGCAGTGCGTCATGAGCTGGCCGGTCGTCACCCATGCTGGCTCACTGCGTGGTGTAGGCCTGCATGCGGAGCCTTCGCAGGACAGTGGCGTGGGGTGGGGTGGGGGGTCTAAAGGGTAGGGAAGGGGTGGGGTGGAGGGGAAAGGAGGGGAGGGGGGGGGTGGAGGGGGGGAGGGGTGGTGGGGTGCGGAACAGGGTGGGGAGGGCAGGACGGAGTGAGGGAGTGACTGAGTGAGTGAGTGTGTCTGTCTGTCTGTCTGTCTGTCTGTATGTATGTACAATATGTATGAATGTATGAATGTAGGAATGTATATACAATCGCGTGAAGCCTGAAACTTCCCGGAGATTGCTTAGCATATTGTTCCTGGTTTTCAAGCGGACCGAAAACCTTTGATCCCACACCCTTCCCACCCCCTCCACAGAGTTGCACCCCGAAGCAACCTCTCTCCTACTTCCCGGGGGTCCCTGCAGGCGGGTCAAATCCTTCGGCAGAGAAGGGTGTCCTTCCAGTTCGAGGTCTGCTTGTTGAGGGGTTCACAGATAATGAGTTAGGATATGATATTGGTATGTTGACGTCGAGCTGCATGCATGTTGTGGGCGCAAACCATACGGCCGGGGCCATGCACTGAGCCCTACAACCAAGCCATCAAAGAGTGTGCCTGTTGCTGCCAAATTGTTCGCGAGACTTGTTGAAGATAGGAGCGTTTGGGATTAGAGTTTCAGGCTTGTTTGGTGACAGCCTTCATTGTTACTCACAGTCCCAGGAAAAGCCCCAGAGTGTTGTCCTGCACGCTGTTTGAGCGCGAGAGCCTTGATAAGAGAGTCCTCAAAGCCTTAGGGTGAGGGTGTACTTATCAGGACAAGTTCCGAAACTACAGTCTTTCAAGGATTCGACACGGGAATTGCAGGTGTGGCGTTTGGGTCTGGTGCTTGGGCCCTTTCGGATCTAAACGTTGCCGACAGCAATTTTTGCCCAATTGAAGTAAATATGTCAGCGTGGGGTTGCAAAAGAGGCGGAGTCAACACAGTACAGCCGGTCTTAGTTCGGTCTTGCCTAAAGCCTCCCAAAAGCCGGTGCAGATGTCGCGAAGATCTTCTGTTGCTTCCAAGCTTCAAGTCCGTGGTTTTCTAGTTCCCATCGGAACAGATGCTTGAGAACTCAGAACAGATGCCGTAAAGAGTGCTACAGAGCAAGACGGGCTACGGACGAAGGGAATCTCACACCCTAACGGCCATGCGCCCTCAACCCTGGAACCCTAAAGCCGTACAGCCCTACATGGTAAACCTGCAGAAGGACGAGCTGCAGGCAGACGCGGCACTGGTTCCGACACTTTGCAGCTTTCAATCGTTTTCCTGAGAGTCCGGATACGAAGCCCATCGATGCCGACGAGGCTTCGGGTTTAGGGTGTAGGGAATTCAGTGCTTGGAACGGCCTGCTTATCAGCGGGAGAAATTGACGAAAACTCTATTAAAAACCAACAGGGCAAGTCAACAAACTAGTGTTCCTCCCCACCAAGCAAAGCTTGAGCGGACACTGTTTCAGGCCAAGTCTTGTCAAACCTGGGGGGGGGGCACTCCAGGCATGTTCGGAGGGATATTCTGTGCCATCAAAAGCCTTGTTTGATACTCTGGGGATGGGATGGGCGCTTTAGGGATGGTTTGCTGTAAAACCCAGCAGCTCCAGACCGAGGGTGCGCAATGAATGAGCACAAACGCTTTTTGTAGATACAGAGATAGATAGAGAGAGA